TCACTTACACGTTCCCACCAGCCATGCATGCGAGGCATCTGGTTTCTCCACATCCTCCCTCTGGGAGTGCGACTCCATATTGTCTAGCATTCACTCAGCCCTGGGCTTGACCCCCAGCAACACAAAGTCAAGGGGGTTGGGACTAATAGCTAGCTTGGACTTGTAGTCAGTAACTCCAACTGCTGGGGAGATGGCTCCGTGATTAAGAGAACCGGCCACTCTTCCAGAGGACCCAGGTTCGATTCCCAGCAACCACATGGTGGTTCACAACCACCTGTAACTTCAGTACCACGGAAATCCGAATCCCTTCTCTGCCCTCTTTGGTGTACAGACACACAGGCAGGCAAAACACCTGTATGTATAAAATAAAAATAAATAAAACTTTTTTAGGGTAGAAGGGGCCTTGCAGGTAGAATTGAAAAGAAGTATGACAAACTTAAATTACCAGAAACTGCGGAAAGTGTTTGTGGGTAACAGGATCACACAGTGTCACGTCCTTGGATGCCTACTGTGTGTAGATTGCCTCTAGGAAATCGCCTTCCTTTAGATGTAACTCAACAAGGCTACCAGCAACTGATGCTGTGAATGCTCCCAGCCCTGGTTCTCCGGCCTGGTGAACAAAGGGGCTGAACACACAAGCCGATGGTGAGGTGGTCCTCCCTCCACCAAGACCAAATGGAGGGGCTGGAGAGGTGGCTCAGTGGTTAAGGACATGGACTATTTTTCCAGAAGACCTGAATTCAGTTCCTAACACTCATATATCGGGGGCTCACAACACCTGCAACTCCAGCTGCAGAGCATCTGACTCTTCTGTCCTTCACGGGCACCTGACATACACGGCATACATTCATATACATACAAATGAAAAAAATATTTAAAATAATGGTAAGACGACGCGTAGAAATGCCATCTGAGACTTGTAACCACCTGCTGGACAGAGACTCCGGATGCTACCACTTGGTAGTCCTTAATCTAGTCAGGGGGCGGCTTTCTAATTCCCTCTTTCTCTTTTCCTCACAGTAGCACTGACTGGACACACCGGACATGAGATGCATGGTGCTGACCATGGAGAAATCACTGTGCTGGGCAGCGGGACAGTCCAGGTAAAACGCCATGTCTGTCTTCAGGACAAAAGGAAGATGCTGCGTTCAGATTACTGCTGGCCAGTCTGATTGATATAGCAGTGAGCGCTAAGTAAACCCCGAGCAGAGAAGTGACTGTGACTGAAGCTGCCCAGTAGGAGGCACTAGAGAGGCAGCCCATGAGGTGGGAAGAGGGGCGTGGCTGCCAGCACCCTGTTCACTAAGGCTCCGTAGGTCCCTCCCTTCCGGTTTGGTCCTTGTTACCATGTTAACCCCAAGTAAAGGTCATTTCAACACAGGACTGCCAATCCTGTGAACCTCTAGGATTGTAGACGTGAAGCACTTGGCCATGCTTCCTGGTGTCTTCCCTGTGCAGTTCTGGCTGTCCTGGAACTCACTCTGTAAACCACACTGGCCGCGAACTCACAGAGTTCCACCTGCTTCTGATTCCCAAGTGCTTGTATCAATGGCATGTACCGCCGCCACCCGGCTTTCTAGTGCCTTTTAGTTTTTTGAATAGTCAAATGTTCGAAACAAAACTATTTAAAGCCATATCACAGAGAGCCTCTGTCTCCATCTGCTCGTACCCCTGCCCACCTTCTTGCGAAGGCGGAGATAACCGCGGTGAGCAGATTCTGTCCCTTTGGTTCCCTTCTGTGTGTCACACACGTTTAGGACAATTATTACTTGCGTATATACAAATAAAAATAGACGTTTCCTCTTCTTTTCCTTTATTTTTAATATTATAAGTGTTATTACTGGGCCTTTTTTTGGCACGGGGTCTCATGATTTAGGCGGTCCTCCAGTTCCTCAAATTGCTGGTGGCTGAGGGTGACTTTTAATCCTGATCTTTGCCTCGGCCTGCTGAGCGCTGCTGGATTATGGATCCAGTGTGGATTATGTGTGTAACCACACCTGCCCCCTTTTTCTTTCGTGTAAAAGCTAACATATTCACACCTTTCTTTGCAGGCAGGGACGCCCGCGGTGAGCGCCCTGCCCAAACGCATCTTACGAAGACGCAAGAGAGAGTGGGTGATGCCGCCGATATCCGTCCCCGAGAACGGCAAGGGTCCTTTCCCTCAGAGGCTGAATCAGGTAGGACTGTGCCTTCCACTTGGGCCACACTGGTGCCTGCAGGATTTATTGTCTGAAGACCTGAGAGCAAGGTTCTTTGCTGCCGGGTGGGGGCTGCAGAAGGTTCCTTGCTACCAGGTGAGGCATCTGTCACTTGGTCAGCTGTCATTTTATTTTGTTTCCAGCTCAAATCTAATAAGGACAGAGGCACCAAGATTTTCTACAGCATCACTGGGCCTGGAGCAGACAGTCCGCCCGAGGGCGTCTTCACCATAGAGAAGGAGACAGGCTGGTTGCTGTTGAATATGCCACTGGACAGGGAGAAGATTGTCAAGTATGAGGTAAGTAGCCTTTAGTATCCAGGGTAGATGTGTTTCCTGAGGTAGGCCAAGGCCTGATGAGGGGGGAACACCAGCTGACCCCGCACCTCTGTGCCTACAGCTTTTTGGCCATGCCGTGTCTGAGAACGGGGCCTCTGTGGAAGAGCCCATGAACATCTCCATCATCGTGACAGACCAGAATGACAACAAGCCCAAGTTCACTCAGGAGACCTTCAGAGGGAGGGTCCTTGAGGGAGCAACACCGGGTAAGATTGGGGAGGGGCTGCCCTGGGCCAGTGGGGTCCAGATCTAGTTGGGGATCAGCTTCTGGAGGTCAGCCCGGAACCTCCTCGCTATGTGTCAGATTCCCTCATCACACTGCCCCTCCCGTCCACCCCGGGAGTTCTGATCAAGCCTGACCTGTGGCAGAGCTACTCCCGTTTGAGGACTTCCCAGAAGCTTGGGTTCAGCCAGACTTAGAAGCTCAGAGTTAAATTTGGACTTTGCCTCTTTACTGCCTATGACCTTGGGTACATCCATGACCTATCTCTGCTTTTCAACCCAAATGGGAGTATCAGCCTTGAAATACTGCCTGTAAAGGTTAGGAATAATCCACGCCACTGAGGGTGCAGCTCGGGTGGAACACTGGCTGACTGAATGAGAGGCCTTGGGCACCAGCACCGCACAGAAGAGAGAAAGGGCTTTACTTTAACATGAAGGGGCCTGCTTGTTTGTGTTTCTGTCTTGCCCGGCCCCCCAGCTGTTTAGTCCCAGAGAAAAATCACACAAAAGATCTCTATAAATTGTAATCCACAGCCTCTCATTTTCTGTGGAAACAAAAGCAAAATCTCTTCTCCAAAGTTATATATCTTTTGCCTTCAGTTTTGAAGCCAAGGTATTTTCAAAATACCTATCTCGGATTAATTCTGCAGCATTTATAAGCAAGTATCTTTTAGCAGCTGTTGCTCCTTCCTCAGCAGTCAAACAATTTATTTATTTATTTATTTATTTTTAAATATTTATTTATTTGTTTATTATGTATACAATATTCTGTCTGCAGGCCAGAAGAGGACACCAGGCTTCATGACAGATGGTTGTGAGCCACCATGTGGTTGCTGGGAATTGAACTCAGGACCTTTGGAAGAGCAGGCAATGCTCTTAACCGCTGAGCCATCTCTCCAGCCCCCCAGTCAAACAATTTAAAGAGAGCATAATAGCATACAGTATCAAGATTCTCTGTGTATTTTCCATATTTACATGGCTTTATTTTAACCTCTATTTCTTTTATTTTTACTTTTAACTTTTGGCTTTTTGAGACAGGTTCTCGGCATATCTTTGTCCTGGAACTCCCTCTGTAGACCATGCTATTTTTGAACTCCCAGAGATCCGTCTGTCTCTGCCTCCCAGGCTACTTGTTCTTTTTTTTTTCTTTTTCTTTTCTTTTTTTTTTTTTTACTGTGAGAACTTTAACCTTTAGCCTGTATATATTTTTAACACAATGTAAACCATTTAGAGGTTTTCTTACTCTTTAAATCTCTCTTTACTTTATATTTCTCTTTTTCTGACCACATGAGTCTTTAATTTGCTAAGGAATGTGGAGAAAACAACAGTCAAAAGCTCTTAAGGCATTTCAAGGTCCTTTCCAGGAAGCAAGCTGCAACAGTGTTTCCATAGTCCTGACTGCCTGTTTGAAAGAGTCAGTTTTCCCTGGCAGGACGGCCCAGAAAGCCAGCATTTTAAAACAGCGCAGCTTTTTTACTGCTACTGCTGAAAACCAAAATGCTTTACTCTAGTCTTTCCCAAGCTTTCTCAGGCTTTGTTTGGTTGCTGTTATCCACGTGGGCACCATTATGTAACATGGATGCAGTTATCCACGTGGGCGCCATTATGTAACATGAGGGGCTGTTTGTTTGTTAGGGGTTTTTCTGTGTTACACTTTACTGTGGAGGACCCAGCCAAAGTTCTGCAGCCACAGGGCAAGCAGCCAGGCCTAGTGGGAAAGCAAAAATAGGCTGCTATCACTAGGGAAGAGGAATAGAAGATGAGGAAGTAGATGTGTGCTCCTAAACTCAGTGACAGGCACTGGGGACAAGGACAGGGTCAGGGGCCTCTTCTTTTTTGGAGTAGTCTGCAGTCAAATGCTCTACCACTGAGCTATCCCCCCATTTTGGAGTAGTCTGGACTGATCACCTCTTGGCCGTTTGGCTGAGTGTTTCAGAGATGAGTTGATCAGAGATGTCCAGTAACAGAAATTCCCACCATTAAAATAATTGGTTATTTTTATTTGCTTGTTTTGATTATTTTTTAGACAAGATCTCCCCATGTAGCCTAGGCTAGCCTCAAACTTGTGACCCTCCTGCCGTAGCCTTCTGAGTACAAGCTTGCATCAACACTGGTAAAAATTGTTGGTCCCACTGCACAGCTCTGGCTGGCTTGCAACTCACCAAGTTGCAAGACCAGGCTGGCCTTGGACTCACAGAAAGCCACCTGCCTCTGCTTCCTGAGTGCTGGAATTACAGGCATGTGCAACCATGCCCAGCTTCTAAAGGTCTTCTGTTGCAGTGTGGGTTTGTTTGGAACATGGTCCCACTGTTTAGCCTTTGTTGCCTGGAGCCTGTTGTGTAGATCAGGCTGCCCTAAACAGTCTTAACAAGATGAAAAGTTTTGCTCTTCCCTTCCTGATCCTGAGAAAGCCCTGAGGCAATTGATCCAGGTGGCGATAGGGCTTCAGTTAAAGGTCCAGGTTTCCTGTCTTGTTATTCTGCTGTTCCTAGGCTAGCTCTTGTGGCTGCTGGAGCCATAGCCCTTACATTTAGCAGAAGGCTGAAGAACAGCATACATACTTACTATTTATTTAGACAGAGTCTCTCTACTCTGTAGTCATGGCCAGACTTTAACTCATGGGCAGTCTTCCTGCCTCAGCCTCCAAAGTCCTGGGATTATAAACGTGAGTTAACCTTTCTCCAAATTTATCGGAAGTCGCTACCATGGTCACAGCTGTGGCTGGAAGGCTCAGAGATATGAAAAATGTCCCCATTGGCTGTGACCAGCATAAACTGAGGATCCACTTCCCAGGAAAGAAGGGCGTGACGACAAGTGGGTTCCAGGAAGCTGGCTGCCACTGAGCTGGAGAGAGATCCTTGTGGTGTTGGCAGAACGTCACAGGGCTCCAGAGTAGGCAAGCCTGGCACTGGGCTGAGAGAGCAAGGTGCTAAGTGACCCCTTCCCCTGCAGGCACCTCTGTGATGCAGGTGACATCCACACTTACAATGGGGTGATAGCGTACTTCATCCATAACCAAGAACCAAAGGAGCCACATGACGTCATGTTCACCATCCACAAAAGCACTGGGGCCATTAGTGTTATCTCCAGTGGCCTGGACCGGGAGGTAAGTGACCTTTGGGAAGTTACTATGTGCCAAAGCTTGGCCAGAGTGGAAGCTTCTGTGGCTGCCCCAAGGTCAAGGAAAGGCAGTGGAGACCCAGGTCATCCGCATGGGCAGCCGGGGAGATCTGGGTCGTCTGCATGGGCAGCTGTGGAGACCCAGGTCAACTGCATGGGCAGCTGGGGAGACCCAGAGGTGGGATACACAGGCAGCCGTGGAGACCCAGGTCGAATGCACGGGCAGCCGTGGAGACCCAGGTGGGATACACGGGCAGCCGTGGAGACCCAGGTCGGCTGCATAGGCAGCCGTGGAGATCCAGGTGGGATACACGGGCAGCCGTGGAGACCCAGGTCGAATGCACGGGCAGCCGTGGAGACCCAGGATGGCTGCGTTGACGTGACTGCTCCTGCATTTACTTTTGCTGTCCCACAGCTCTCTGGGCCAGTGACCTGCTGCCTAACCTGCTGGCTGGATATCCTGAGGGTGGGGAGGCAGCTGTAAAGTGCAGGTTTTTGAGCAATTCTCATTTCCTGTCCAATCGGCTCATTTAGTTTACATGCTGCCCAGGTTTGTCCCCTGTGTGCCACAAAGGAGAACTAGCTCCGTGGATATTGGAATTACCTTCTGTTTCCTAATTAATATCTTTGCCTATGTGGAGCAGCCGAGGGTTGGCCAGTGCTGGGGCTTCCACAGGAGAGCTGCTGGGAGATGAGGCTCCAGCCCTGCACCCTCACCGGCCTTCCCTGGAAGTGGGTGAGGGGCGAGCCAAGGAATTGGGAAACGGTGAGAGGGAGGAAGAACAGCGTCTCCTCCATACCCCCCCAGGCAGTTTCTTGTTGTCAGGAGGACAACCCCTCACACTGGACTCCTTCTGTGCTCCTTTCTCCCCCAGAAAGTCCCCGAGTACAAACTGACCATCCAGGCCACAGACATGGATGGAGAGGGCTCTACCACCACAGCGGTGGCCATTGTGGAAATCCTTGATGTCAACGACAATGCCCCCGAGTTTGAGCCACAAAAGGTAACTCCCATTCCTTCCTGCATTCCTCCTTCCTGTAATGGACTGAGGTTGGCTGCTTCTCCGAAACCAACCAAGTCCCAAGTCTGTCACTCACTGGCTGTGTAACCTTGGGCAAACCACCAGGTCTCTCTGTGCCCAGTTTCTTGATCTGTGAAGCGGAGGTAATGATAAATGCCTGATAAATTGTTCTAAGTTTTCGATGAGATCTGATCATGTCCAGTCTTCATGTCATTTGAAACTTACTACCTCACATCTTCCATAAACTTACATAGCTGCAAGGACAGAAAACTCATTGCTGGAGAAATGGCTTAGTGGGCAAGAATATTTTCCACTAACCCAAATGACCTGTTTAATCCCAGGACCCACATGGTGGAAGGAGAGAACTGGCCCTGTCCTTTGATTTCCACAAGCTCACCACGCCACCTGCACCCCACCCCCAATACATAAATGTAATACAAAAATTAAAAGGGGAAAAAAAATCTCAACATCAGTTGAAGTGACACACGCTCCTCTGTGTATGTGCACAAATCTCTAGCCTCGGAACGCTAGTAGGCCTCGTGTTCCTTGGGAGATGGGTCAGTTTGGAAAGTGTTTACTGTTTAAGCATGGAGACCTGAGTAAAAAGCCAGGTGTGTAGGGCCACACTTGTAACTCCATTGTTGGGGAGGTAGAAATAAGATTCCTGGGGCTCCCTGGCTTGTCTCAGGAAATGAAGTGGTCAGCTTCTGTGGAGCAAGCAGTACCTGAAGTTGACCTCTCACCCCTGCAGGCACATGCATATGCATGCACGTGTGCGCACGCACAGACACACAAAACGTGCACACACATGCATGCATACAGACACACAAATTATGCTGAAGACTTCAGTAGGGTGTTACATGCCTGCAGTTACAATATTTGGGAGGTAAAGGCAGGAGAATCAGTAGTTCAGAGTCATCTTCAACTCCATAACACCTTTAATCCCAGCACTCTAGAGGCAGAGGCAGGCAGATCTCTGGGTTCAAGGCCAGCCTAGTGTACAGAGCGAGCTTAAGAACAGCCAGAGCTACACAGAGAAACCCTGTCTCAGAAAACAAACAAAAACCTAAAACTTAAAAGAAAGCTGACTTCCTGGTCTTTGTTACTTCCCCTCAAACTTGTGGCGAGGCCTCCGACACAGTGAGCCGCCTGTCCTTGTGACCATCTCTCTGGGGCCTCTGTTCTATGCCCTAAGGTGGGTGGCTATGCACAGTAGGGGCTTGGGCTCCCAGACTGGGAGAGTCCGGAGCAACAGGCCCTCATGGAGAAGGGAAGTGGGTCTGGGTATGTGACCTTGTCCCCACATCTGTGCTGTCGCTTGGGATTGTCTCTCTGTACCTGTGTGTCCTGAAAAATCTCTATGGGCTGGTGGTCCAGAAATGTGAAAAGGCTGCAGGGCTTCCCGGCAGCAGGATGAACAGCCTGCCGGGTGACGCCGATCTCTGCTCTAACTGCACTGCGTCCTGTCCCTCTCCCCGCACAGTATGAGGCCTGGGTGCCAGAGAACGCAGTAGGCCATGAGGTGCAGAGTCTAACAGTGACTGATCTGGATGTCCCCGACTCACCGGCATGGCGTGCCGCCTACCGAATCGTGGGAGATGATAATAGGGACCATTTCACGGTCACCACTCACCCAGAGACCAACCAAGGCATCCTGACAACCAAGAAGGTAGGTCCGTTTGGGCTTGAGGACAAAGGGACGTCCTGCCTGGGTGCTTCCCTTGGGCCATTGACTGGGGACTACACCAAGACAGTGGCTCCTGGTACTGTCCCCAGCTCTTGTGCTGAGAACCCCTTTAAGCTTTAGAAACAGGGTCTTACTATGGATTTTGTTTTGGGGATTCTGGGGGCTGGGAGAGTATGGTGGTATGGGGATGGCGCTCAGGGACTTTTTCTTTTATGGTCTGGTTTTCATCAGGATACAGAGTAAGGTGGGGTCAAAAAACCTTTGGGAACAGGGCAGGGTAGGTCACACTATGACCCCACACTTGGAATGTGGAATCCAAAAGGTCAGGAGTTCAGGTTCATTCTCTGCTATGTAGCCAATCTGAGACCAGCCTGGGCTACAAAACAACCTAAATAAATAAATAAACGCTTAGACAAAATCTGTCCTTTAAGAGACAAGCTGTGGATATAGTGTCACATGTGTGTAATCCCACCATCTAAGAGGATCAGCATGGGCTACTTTACAAGTTCAACGCCAGGTAGAGCTATATATGCAGTGAGGCTAGATCAACCAGAAAAGATAACAACATTTGATGGTTTGAGAATATGGGCCCATTTAAAAGGTTCTGGCCAGGTGGTAGAGGCGCACGCCTTTAATCCCAGCACTTGGGAGGCAGAAGTAGACAGATCTCTGTGCTTTCGAAGCCAGCCTGGTTTATAATGCGAGTTCCAGGCCAGGGATTGAAAGCTAGCTCAATGGTTAAGAGTTCCAGGCCAAGCTGGGCAGTGGTGGCCCACATCTTGAATCCCAGTACTTGGGAGGCAGAGACAGGTAAATCTCTGAGTTTGAACCAGCCTGGTCTACAGAGTGAGTTACAGGACTACCAGGGCTATACAGAGAAACTCTGCTTCAAAAAACAAACAAAAAAAGTTACAGACCAGCCAGGACTGTATAGTAAAACTGTCTAAATAAATAAGTAGGAGGAGGCAAAACTACTATGTATCTTAGAACTATATAAGGCTATAATATACATAGACAGATAATTATAAAATATAAGGAAAGGTTCCTAACTATCCTGGTGTGTGAGCTACATCTGAGCACAGCTACAGCGGAAAGCACAGCGAGGTGGTCAGATGTTTGCCTTTGCTTGTAGACCTTTCCTGTGTGTCGGCCTGGTGACGCATTGCCACCACTGCTCTTCAGACGGGATAAACAACTGAAAACGTCCTGAACAAATTAAAGTAGAAGCTGAGTTCCTCGAGAACTCAGTCTACATTAAAACCATACCAACGCTCGCTTTGTGTATCAAACATGTTCTTGGCTCCAATTATAAACAGGTTTCTCACTCCAGTAAATGAGTGACCATGGGGACACTGGCAAGTCACAGGAGACACAGAGGGGGTTCTTTGTCAGTAACATTGATAGGATGCAGCATCCTACCCAGGCTAGTCACCAGAGGCCTAACTAACATGCCCACAGCCTCTCGGCCATCCTAGAGACGGCACCGTCCCATTGGGAACTAACCTTCTAGGGCTCACTAGGTCTTTGGGGTGGTCTAAGAGACCCCAGTAGATTTCCACTTAGGAAACACGGGTGGAACAGGGAGTGGGAGAGCAGGATGGTTGTTGACCAGAGTCTTGGTCGCTTTACTGTGACCCTTCTGATGTCCACAGGCCACTTCACAAAGTGCTGCCTCAGCTTCCTCTTCTCTCCTAGGGCTTGGATTTTGAGGCTCAGAACCAACACACCCTGTACATAGAAGTGACCAACGAGGCTCCCTTTGTGGTGAAGCTCCCGACAGCCACTGCCACCGTAGTGGTCCACGTGGAAGATGTCAATGAGGCCCCTGTGTTTGTCCCACCTTCCAAAGTGGTTGAGGTCCAGGAGGGCATCTCTGTTGGGGAACTGGTCTGCTTCTATACTGCCCAGGACCCAGACAAGGAGGACCAGAAGATCAGGTACCTGGGGACTGGGCACCAGGTCAGCCAATACATAGCTACGCTTGGGTGGCTTGTTCCTTCACCATCAAGTTTGTTCAATACCAGTACCATCATCCTTGCACCAAACCCTTCCTGCCTTGCTCAAGGCTGCAGGCTCTGCACTTGGTCTGAGGAGGCTCTGAATGATTGCAGTAGGATTCCTCATGTGCTCGCTGTGACCCTTCTCAACTCTCTGTCCAGCTACCACATCTTGAGAGACCCAGCTGGCTGGCTAGCCATGGACCCAGACAGCGGTCAAGTCACGGCTGCAGGCATCTTAGATCGTGAGGATGAACGGTTTGTGAGGAACAACATCTATGAAGCCATGGTTTTGGCCACAGACAATGGTGAGAGCTTTTAGCAAGTCCTTCCATGGGCAGGCCTATGGTTCCCAGAGCATTAGGACACAGTCTGTTCTCTCCTTAGCAGGAGATGCTGGTAGGGAGGAGACTGACAAACCAGTCTAGATTTAAAGTCCTGACTGCTATGATCCTAAGTTTTCTGAATCCCAAGAGATAGGCAAGGTACCGAGGACTCACTTTTCCGCTTGTTTTTAGTTCACTGAACTCTGAATTGACCTGTCAGTTTCTACTGATGGTTGACTGACAGGGATCGCTGAGAATCCCACAAATAAAGTAGTGGTGCACCACTACCAGAGAGATTATGATATTATACCGCCTCTACTTAACAGCTATGAATCAAGGCCTTAGGCTGGTCTCTCTGAAGCTTCAGGTTTCCTGAAGCTGATCGGCAGACAACTAACTGTACAAGCATGAGGTAGCCTGTGGGTTTTACTCTGAGATCAGTTATAATGGCTGTCTGAATGCAGTAGCTGCAGCTGCAATGTGATTTATTAGTAATGTCTGCTGTGGACACAAATGAGAATGATGCTGTGATTGCCATGATTTGCCATTGACAATTTACTTTACAATGAAGTTAACACATGGAGGGGCTTAAGAGGGGAGAACTGGGTGATAACCAGGAGCTACTTGTAGGCGGATTAAGTAGGTCTTAGGGGAACTTAACATTGGTTCATTCACCAACCAAGAGTAAGAGCAGAAACTGAAGAGATCATGTGTGTAATTGTGAACAGGGAGCCCTCCCACCACGGGCACTGGAACCCTCCTGCTAACACTCACCGACATCAACGACCATGGCCCACTCCCAGAACCCCGCCAGATCACCATCTGTAACCAAAGCCCTGTGCCTCAAGTGCTGAACATCACGGACAAGGACTTGTCTCCCAACTCCTCCCCTTTCCAGGCCCAGCTAACACATGATTCGGACATCTATTGGGCAGCAGAAGTCAGCGAGAAAGGTAACTAACTCAGTTGTGGTAGCAAGAGGCTGCCAGTTCCGCTGGGTGGGTGTCGGTCCCACAGTAGTTAGCACATGCGTTCCTCTTCTCACATCTGGGGTCACAGAACTGATGGTCTCAAAAGTGGGCATCAAGTGCTCTTCCGTAGCTTTATATCAGGAGCCCTAAAAGATGTCTTCAAAAACAAAACACAGAACTAAGCATGATTACACTTAATCCCAGTACTCAGGAAGCAAAAGCAAGCAGATTTCTATGGGTTCAAGGCCAGCCTGATCTACTTGGTGAGTTCTAAGGCTATGTGAGACCCTGTCTCAAAAGAACAAGCAAACAGCAGCATCCACAATAAAAATACAAACAAAAGCAGGTAACGAAAGCTGGAGACATTTCTCAATCATTAAAAACATCTGTTTCAGGGGCTGGAGAGATGGCTCAGTGGTTCAGAACACTAGCTGTCCTTCCAGAGGACACTGGTTCAATTCTCAGCACCCACATGGTGGCTCACAACCACCTGCAACTCCAGTTCCAGGGGCTCAGACGTTCTTTTCTATTTTCCACAGCACTAGGTATGCATGTGGTGCACAGACATATACGCAGGAGAAACACCTGTACACATTAAATAAAACTTAAAAAGAAAATAAAAGAGCATGTGTTGTTCTTTAGAGGACCCGGGATCAATTCCCAGCACCCACATGACAGCCCACAATCATCTGTAACTTCAGTGTCAAGGGATTGGGCATCCTCTTCTGACCTCCTTGGGCACCAAGCACACACTTTGTGCACATACATGCAGGCAAAACACTCATACACGTACAATAAAATAGATAAATATTTGTTTAAAGAAGGGTAACCAGGCAGGGCAGTGGTGACATATGTCCTTAATCTCAGCACGCAGGAAGAAGTGGTGGATCTCTGTGAGTCTGAGGCTAGCCTAAGTCTACAGAGAGTTCCAGAACAGTCTCAAAACCCTGTCTCAAAAAACAGTCTCAGAACCCTGTCTCAAAAAAGATAGGTAACCAATTAATGTGAGCATTAACCAATTAAGTTAGCTACTTTTTAGAATAATGTTTGAGACAGGGTCTCTCTGTGTAACCCTGGCTGTCCTGAAATTCACTTAGTAAACCAGTCTGGCTTCACCTCAATCTCAAAGAGATTCTCCTGCCTCTACCTCCTGAGTTCTGGGATTAAAAGCATATGACATCATTCCCTGGCTTATATAATGTATTCTTTTGAGACAAAGAATACTCTAGCAGGTGATTATAGCAAGAATATTAATCCAATATCACATGACTTCCAGAGCCTCCCATTTTGCTAATACTACAATTGCTTTCTTGTTTGTTTTTAATAAAATGACAGCTAAGCATGGCAGCTCACACCTGTAATCCCAGCACCGCCATGAGTTTGACACCAACCCAGACTACAAAGCAAGACTCTGTCTTGTAAAATAATTAATCAATTAAATCAATTTAAAAATAGTGAATTAATTGGGGCTGGAGATGTGGCTCGGCAGTTAAGAGCACTGGCTGCTCTTCCAGTGGACCAGGTTCAATTCTCAGCACCCACATGGCAGCTCACAGCTGTCTGTAACCACAGTTCCAGCGAATCCAGTACCACCCTCTTCTAGCCTCCAAGAGCACCAGGCATGTACGTGGTACACAGATGTACAGACATGCTTGGAGGTAAAATACCCATACACATTAAAAAAGAGAGAAAGAAAAAAAAGAGAGAAAGAGATGAATTAGTTTTGGAGCTAGGGCTGGAGAGATGGCTGTCTTCCAGAGACCCTGAGTTTAATTCTTCTGGCTTGCAGGCATACATGCAGACAGAACACCATATACATGATAGATAGATAGATAGATAGATAGATAGAGATAGAGAGATGGAGAGATAAAGAGATAGATTTTATGGGCTAGCAATGTTTCTGAAAGGGTTGCACAAAGTTGGTGGACCAGAGTTTGACTCCCAGAAATCAGAGGTGGAAAGAGGAGACCAACTCCCAGAAGTGAGAAGACTCACTTCTGATCTTCACATGTGCCTCATAATGAAGGACCCCAACTTCATTGGGGTCACAGTTAAAACTGTGGTTTTAACTTTAACCACAGTTATAACGCTCTGCAAAGGTTTTCAGATAGCAAGCTTCATTAAAGGCCGGGATGCTGAGCAAATAACAGGCTTAATTAAGGGTCTCTGGAATCCAGTGCCTCTGAAATGCTGAGCAAAGACACCTGAGCAAAGACAGCCTTATCTGGCTGCGAGACAGGATGGATTGGTCATAGGAACAAAGAAAGAGAAGATTGCGAGGCCTGAGTCACGTAGAAAGCGAGGCTCGTCACAAGTCAGGGGCTGTGCAAATCAGACATCGAGTCGCCAGCCAAGCTAGGAAGGCAGGAAGAGATAAGAAAAACAGGTAGCACAACCCCCTCCAGGTGGGTCTGGACAACCCCCTCCTTGGTATTTAGGTAAAAGGTCAAGAATGTGCCACTCAGCTTAGCCTTATTTGAACTGACCAATGAAATGAAAGCTTTTCTGCTTCTGTACCCGCGCTTTTGCTCCCCTATAAAAACCCCTCATCCCCAACCTGCAGGCGCGCAAGTCCTCCGAGAGACTTTGCCGCCCACAGGTGCCTGTGTATCCCCAACCAATAAACCTCCTGCTGCTTGCATCCGGTTGCGTGCTTTCGACTGGTCTTTGGGTTTGGGGTCTCCCCCGAGGGAAGACACCCAGCGGGAAGTCTTTCAATAACACATGATTGCCTGTGTGCATACACACACACACACACACACACACACACACACACACACACACCAGCAACAAAAAATAACAGAACAGCTGGGCAATGGAGGCACACACCTTTAATCCCAGTACTCGAGAGGTAGAGGCAGATCTCTGAGTTCGAGGTCAGCCTGGTCTACAGAGTGAGTTTCAGGACAGGCTCTAAAGCTACAGAGAAACCCTGTCTCAAAAAAACAAACAAACAAACCAAAAAAAAAGTAGTAATAAGACAATAAAGAAAAAAATACTAAAAAAATGAAGTAATTTTTGTAACCCAGTATTCCTTCTCACAGTGTTAAATTTTACTTTAGCCAGGGTTTTGGGAACATTTTGTTTGTTTTGCTTTGCTTTTGGGTTCTGGGTCTTGAGCCCAGAGCCTCATGGATGCTAAGCAGGTACTCCATCACTGCACTACGCTTAGACAAAGACTGCCTCTTGTTCATCGGGTGCTGAGGCTCTTACCACCCTTATCTTGTACTCAGTGCTCACTACGTATGACATTCCCAGACTAAGAAGTTATCTGTCTCTCCAGGAGACACCGTGGCCTTGTCGCTGAAGAAGTTCCTGAAGCAAGACACATATGATTTGCACCTTTCTCTGTCTGATCAAGGCAACAGGGAACAGCTAACCATGATCAGGGCCAAAGTGTGTGACTGCTATGGCCATGTGGTGACCTGCCCCGAGCCCTGGAAGGGTGGTTTCGTCCTCCCCATCCTGGGTGCTGTCCTGGCTCTGCTGAGTGAGTACCATAAGCTTCCATGTGCAACTAGGTACTTAAGAGAATTTATTTTTCTCAGAATTTCTGAAACTAATATTTCTCATTCATTTCTTTATTTCTTTGGTTTTATGCTTATTGAATGTTTTTGCCTGAATGTGTGAGTACCTCATTTGTGCCTATACAAGCCATAAGGGGTTAGATGACTGAGAACTGTAGTTATAGACAGCTCTGATCTGCCGTGTGGGTGCTGGGAATCGAACCCAGTTCCCTTCAAGAGTAGCCAGTGCTCTTAAACCGCTGATCTGTCTGTCTCCTCCCCAACTCATTCATTTCTTAAACTCTCAATTCCACAAATATCATTTAATTGCGAGATTCTGGAGCTTGAAGAATAAGCCAGGCTAATGTTTTCCTGTCAAGTCATTGTGAAGC